GCCCGCCACGAGACCTCGACGAGCCCTTCGCGAGACATTGTCAAGACCCGCGCATCGCCGCCCAACGACCGCGCGAGAAGGCCGCCCTCGTCATGCTCGCGCGCAACTCGGAGCTCGACGAAGCGCGAAAGACGATCCAGAACATCGAGGCCCAGTTCAACCAATGGTTCAACTACCCCGTCGTGTTCCTGAACAACGAGCCCTGGGACCCGGCTTTCGTCCGGGAGCTCAACGCCTCGGTCAGCGGCCAAGCCATCTTTGACACCATACCCGCCAAAGACTGGTTCTTCCCTCCCGGGGTCTCCCCCGATAAGGCCCGCGAGTCCATGGCCCAACAAGCGGCATCCGGCGTCTACAAGGGCGGCCTAGAGTCGTACCACCACATGTGCCGCTTCTACTCGGGCGCCTTCTACACCCAGCCCGCTCTGGCCCCCTACAAATGGTACTGGCGGCTCGAGCCCGGCGTCCGCTACACGTGCGCCGTAACCTACGACCCGTTCGCCGCCATGGCGTCCCACGGCAAAACATACGGCTACACCGTCGCCCTGTGGGAAGAACCCGCCACCTGCCCGTCCCTCTTCCGCGAAGTCGACGCCTACCGCGAGGCCAACCATCTGCCCGCCACCCCGCACTTCAACACCCTCCTCGAGACGGCCGACAGGCCGTGGTACCAGCGGCCGTGGCCAGTCCGCAAGCTGCTCGGCCTCCTGGGCCGCCCGCACACGTCGCGCGCGGGCGAGCGCTGGAACCTGTGCCACTACTGGAGCAACTTTGAGATCGCGTCGCTCGACTTCTTCCGCGGCGCCGCCTACCAGTCCCTGTTCGCGCACCTCGACCGCCGCGGGGGGTTCTACGCGGAGCGCTGGGGCGACGCGCCCGTGCACTCGCTCGCCGTGCACCTCCTCCTCCCGCCCGCGCAGCTGCACCACTTCTCTGACTTTGGATATCACCACCACCCCTTCTGGCAGTGCCCCGGCAACGCGCCGGGGGAGGGGCAGCTGCCGGGCAACGAGGCGCTGGATGGCGGGCCGGGGAGGGAGCAGGGGGCTGCCGGTTGGACGAGGGAGAGCGAGGGGGCGATTGGGTGTCGCTGTCGCTGTGGCGGGGAGGACGGGACGTGGAGGAGGAATAACCGGGGGATCTGCCTCGAGAGGATGCAGCGGGCTGCTGCGGCGACGAGGGTAGGGTGGTGGGAGCGGTGGAGGGGAAGGTATCCTTATAGTATTGGCGTTCCGGGGTGAGACGAACGCGGTGACCATTTTGCGGCTCGCCCACGGTCCGACTCTGCTGCGGCTTGTCCCCCCCGCCACTGACTAGGTATCTGACCTGCCACAGACCCTGCACCCACAATGGATGTCCAACCATGCTACCTTACGGAACATCCCACCTTATCCATCGAAGAAGCTGAGGAGCGCTAGCTGTACTCAGAATGATCACACTGGTAGGGTGGATGTCGAGGACCGCGGGCGGAGTCGGCGGCACGCATGTAACGTAGCTCACTTTGCGCATCAGTCAGTAATATCAAGCGGCCATTCTTCAGTACTTCTCCACTTCCCCGCTCTCGAGACCCCCGTCAAGGGCAACATATCCACGGCGCAACGAATAAGACGCAGTAACTTTTTAAGTTTGCTTTGCAGCGCATACCTCAAGTCAAGTAAGAAGCATGGAGAGACCACCCCAGGGCCCTTGAAGAAGAGAAATCCGGGCTATTAAAATTTTCCGGCCGTGCACCGGTGCACTGGGAACTGCGAGAAGGGCTCGTGGGATAGATACAAGAGTATTCTCAGACAAGGTGAAAATTCTCGTCCACCTGACTGGACCCTTTTCGATTTGACAGGCACCCACACTAGGTACCTAATTACCACCGACCACACCCCATGCACGGTCCCGGAAACAGACCCATCGCGGGATCATACCGGACCAGCGCATGTGTGCTTGAGTGCCGGCGCTCTAGCATCGGCCGAGCCGGGCTGGGAACTGTGTCAGCCAGTCTGACAGAGTACACCATCCCCGTGTGGAATGGGGGAAGGAACTGGACGAAGTTCAACATACCGAGAGTGCAGGAGTTGTCGGTGTAGTGGCCGTTGACGTAACAGCCAAGCGTGTACGACAAGTCCCAGCCGCTGAGAGACGAGTGAAGAGGGTCAGCACCACCAAGTCCAGAATGAACATCACGGGGGTCAAGTAAGAGTAAAACTGACCAATTCGTGGCCCCGCCGATGTTGACGCACTCGCCCGACCTGACGCAGCTAAAGGCGAAGGTTTCCCCCCTCGGGAGGGTCCTCACCACGCTGGAGCTGGTGCTGGGTCCGGAGCGGCAGTTGATCCTGCTGGCTCCGCCCACGATCTCGCAGACCTGGACCGCGCGCTTGTCGAGGCCGAGTGCGGGTTCGTTGAGCGAGACGTCGGCGGCGGCCTCGCGAGCCTCGACGGCGGCGCGGGCCTCGGCGGCGGCGTGGGCCTCGATCTCGATGGCGGTGAGAGCCTTGTCGTCGGCAACGGGGGCGGCGAGGGGGCTTGTCGGGAGGAGGGCGGCCGCGAGGAGGGAGACGAATTTCATGGTGGCGTTGGGAGTTTGACTGTTTGAGCCGCTGAAGTGATCTGGGAAGAATTGATCGGTGCTCCGGAGATGATGGAGAGTGAGATATGGGCTGAGAGACTTGACCGTGTGGTGTTTGTCTCCTTTTATACCCGTCTCCCTCTCCTCTTCATGACTGCCCAGCCCCGTCTCCCCCTCCTTTTGATGTCTCCCCATCATCTCCCCCCTCATGTCTGCCTAGGTAGGCTCTCGACCATTCTTCACGATAGCTATCTCTCCTGCATAGTACGTAAACAGTAAGACGGCGCAATTCTCATGTGTGCTGACAGTACTGTTACGTACCACGTACCCAATTGAAGCCATCCCAACGTCGCATCAAACTCCTTTCGGCTCGAACTCACAGCAATAGTGCTACCACGTCGTATCCCTGCAAGGTGCTGTGGGTGGCCATCTCGGCCTTGTGCGTCACTCTAGCGCGCAGCGTGGGCTGCGTGCCGATGGTTTTGGCTCAGCGCTAGAGCCCTATGCGTCTCCCCCTCCTCCTCCTCCTGTTGGCCTCTCCTAGGTCCTCCGTCTCCCTGCCTGGCCCTGGATTCCCCTCCTCCTCCTGTTCCAGTTCCATCGCAAGCCGGTACTCCTGTAGCCGTCCGAGTCTCATGAGCCATGCCACAACCCGCGCTGCCTCTGAGCAGCGCCCAAGCGCCTCTACCAGGGCGTGTCTAGCATTTAATATAAACTATCTTGCGGAACCCCAAGCCACCCCGAAGAGCCTCAACGGTTGTCAGCAATGAACGCCGAGTAAACACCTTCCTTTTCTCCAAGTCAAAGTGCGCCGCGGCCCGGGACGCCGAGCAAAGCACACCGATCGATATGAACTTCAGGTAAGGTACCTACCTACCTTAGGTACTCCTACGACGCGGCCGAGCCCGAGCCCAGGCCCGATCCTAAGCCCAGGCCCGATTTTAAGCCCAGCCCTCCTCTAGGCGCGCCTCATAAAAAAAATGAACGAGAAGATGCGCCTTTGGTAATCCTCATCAGCAACGTCGACGGCGTGGAAGTCGAGGCAGTTATCGATAGGCTCCGACGCGGACGTCAGCTCAACCAGAGCCGAAGAGAGGTGTTCGCCGACTGGAACATGCCGCAGCCAGTAGAAACAGACGTATTTGGACCTGAACTTGAGTGGCTCCGAATCTCTGGGGCTGGGGACGTCAGGTTGCCAGTGCGGAAGCACGATTCTGCTCACCGAGGGCGCGATATCGTCATCAAAGAGCATGTCGCTCAACTGGCGGATGGCATACGCCACGGCGGCTTTGCCCTTTCTCAGGACGGCCGTAAAGCTATCGGATTCCGACAGCGGGTTCATGGAAGGATCGAGATGCCGAAGCGCCTCCCGGTCGACCTTGACAAATACCACAGCTGGCCCGGGAGGGACAACAAAGTCCGAAGTCAGACGGCTCAATCCTAATGGAGACGGCCACTTTGGGTTTTGTTGACTTGTTCGTTCCTAAATCCGTGAATTAGCGCCAGGCTCGATGATATCTTTATCCAGAACAACACTGACCTGGGCTGCTCGTCAAAAGATGCTTCTGCCAGTATCTTGTGAAGGTGAAGGAGCAGGCGGCGTGGCAAAGACCCTTCCCTGGGGGACGCAGTGCTCTCAAATACCAGTACCGAGATGAGGAAGCGGGGTTCGACGCCAGCTTGTATTGTACGCGCCAGACAGGGCCACAGATTTATGCCACTTTCAGAGGGCTTGATCCGCTTGGATGCCTCGGCGGCCACAGTTCCAGTGACCTGGCGCCCAACGGCATAAAGCTCTGCGGCGCATGCGGTGCCTACCTTGTCTCTCACCTGGTTGATCACTTTCAACAAGAGAAGCAGCCAGGCGATAGGACATAGTCGTTGCGCCCTTGATCCCTTGTTAGGTTGCCGCCCACCAAACACGGTGCATGAGCAGCAACTCAAGGGTAGGTACTTCACCCGACGACAAACTGCCAACGGCATGCCCTTCAATTGCGACCTGGCCCAAGCGGAACAACGTGCACTGTGACCGGCAAACGCCAGATCACCCCCCCCAACTTATTTCGATGTAACCTCGACTTTTCATTGTGGGAGAAGCTCGTTTCGTTGACATCAAAGAACTCCTAGAAACTCAACGGATCTTACCTAAGTTTCGAAACGAACAACGGATCTAAACTCTGCAGGTCTGGTTCTATGCAGAGAGATGGCTGGCCTAAGTACCTATCCTTGGTAGCCGAGGTCTACTTTCCTCATCTTTCTGGTTTCTTATGTTAAAAAACTTGAGAGCATCCCGAAAAATAAGTGGGGGGGGGTGATCTGGCGTTTGCCGGATACAGTAACTAACGTTAGTTGTTCCTGAGTTTTCGAACTCTACATACGCTTGATATGGTGACTGTCCGAGCCGTTGCTACATGCTACGATGGGTGCCAACACCCAGAAATCTTCCGTAGTATAGTGGTCAGTATGTGAGCTTGTCACCGCGTTGGATTCATCCACCCGCCGACGTCGCTCGAGACCCGGGTTCAATTCCCGGCGGGAGAGTTTTGCCGGCGACAGCGACTACACGAAGGCAAAAAGGCGACTTTTGGGCATCCTTTTCTTTTGACATTCCTTACCAAGAACGAATAAGACTTCCCAAGCACCGCTTGCGCCTACTACGCCCTCCGGTATTTTCCCCCCAATAAAATCCTCCCAGATCTCCCTCCCTCAACACGCCGGCAGCGCCCCGTCATCCGTAGCCGCCCCGGCCAGTGCGATCTCGGCGTTGCGCCTGCGCACGAGGCCCTGCAGCACCCGGCCGCCGGCGTACACCCACCGGGGCAGCTCCTCGGCCAGCACGGTGTTGACGTCCTCGCCGCCGTTGAGCCACTCGATGAGCGTCGACGTCTCGGCTGCGCCGCAGCCCATGTTGAAGGACCAGCTGACGAGGGCGCCGTACTGGTTCAAGTTGAGGGTTGCGTGCGTCATGGCTGTGATGCACCTCTCGAAGCGCTGGTTTAGTGCGTGATCGATTAGAAAGTTTGATTTTTTCTTCTTTTTAACTTCCAGATTGGGCGAGGGGTAAATGGGGGAGGGACTTGCCGCCATGTCGTCGGCCAGCAGTCTCATGCCGTCCGCCTGGGAGAGCGGGATCGAGTACTTGACGTCGGAGCACGTCGCGTCGTTGCAGAGGTGGCCGTAGCCTATTGTGGGATAGCCGGCAGCGTCGGTGTCTGAGACGGCAGGCAGGTGAGCATACAGTATTATTGGTTGACAAAGAAATGAGACCTTAAGAGGACAAGAGAGGACACATACAGACGTTGGGCTCGAAACCCTCAAACTCGGCAATCAGATCGACCGTGGCCTGGTTCGACTTGGGCGCGACGCAGGTGGTGGTTCCGCACCGGCCCGTGACATAGCCGGCGCTGCCCGTCTCGACGTACAAGTCGGACACATAGCAGCCGTGCGACGTCTTGTCCCAGATGGCGTGGCCCTGCACGCTGGTACCGGACGTCTGGCAGGTGATAGTGACGTCGGTCCCCTTGCTGTACGTCCGCTTGACCGCATAGTTGGTGCCCGGCCCGGCCCGGCAGTTGACTGTGTCGCCCGTGATGAGGTATGCGCTGGCCGGAGCCAGGACCGAGGCAAGAATGGCGATTCCGACGGATTTCATGGTGGTGCCCTGGAAGAGAAGCCTGAAAACTGGCTGCTGCTGGCTGCGATGGGGTTTGTCGAAGGAATTTTCGTGAATCCCAAGTCAAGATGTCAGTGTAAGCGATGATGGAAGGTAGAAGAAAAAGATCGACAGCGAACTAAGGCACTGATGTGAAGAACACGGTCTGCTGAATGCAATCGTCTCCTCGCTGATGCGGCTTAGTCGCTTTAAATGAGTGTCTTAAAGCTCAGGCGGGATCATCAAAAGCCGTCTTACTTGAAGCTTCACCGCAATCTTGCTCCTCGCCGCTCGGTGAAGTTTGTGCAACAGAAGCCGTCAGTGCTCAAGCTGGGAATGGGATTTGAGACGACACCGAGCAAATACGGTACCTAATTATGGCTGAGGCTAAACCGGGAAGCTGACCCTATGTGAGTCGGGCTGATTTGCAGGGCGGGAGATGCGGCTGCATTCGGTGTTACGATGGCCTACCTAGCATGACAATGATCGCTCCGCTGTGACAGAAATAGCATCTCTCCAAGGTTTTGCAGTGGCGAGAGTGGCTGTCCAGGTAGGTCGCATTGCGACCCTTCTCCTGCCAGATCGGGGCACTAAACACCACCTCTTACATGGATCGTCGGCATGATGTCTCCAGGCCGCTTTCAAGTTGGATGTAATGAGGTCAAACTCCTGGCCACCCATTGCTGCAGTTATCTCCTCCAAGCTCTCCGCTGGCTGAGAAGCACCACGTGAACCTGCCAACTTCCTGATGCTCGATAATTAGTAGCAAGCCTGGTCTCGCGATGTGACCGGTATTATCAGCTCCACTGCATTGCTGCGGCACTGCGATGGCAGGCACCCAATCGAGTGTCAGCCGAAGGGAGCATGGAACATCCAATAGTGGTCAGGGGGCCGGAGCGTCCCTAGCTCATCGCCCACGTCCGAGTGTTGTTGCAGTGGAAGCACTCGACTGCCAAGCCGAGAGTCGATGAAGCGCGTTCCTACAGCTCTTCGCGTCCTCCGTGACAAGACCGACACGGCAACAATGATGACGACTGCTTCGCCCTTTCCGTCCCCCTGCCACTCGCAGCCAACAAGGCACCCTCCAAGAACAGCCGATCAATCTCCTCGGCCGCAGTCTCATTCGCCACTTTCAACCGCAGAAAGAACTGATTCCTCACTGTCTCATCCGCCACCCACCGGTTCGACCCGTCCGCCTCGACAAAATTATATCCCGACCCGCCCTCGTTCCCGTACTCAAACAACTTCCCCAGCCCGTGTATCGCGTACCACACTGCAAGCGGATCCCACGACGGACGCGGCCGGTGGTACCCGTACCAGATATAGGCCCTTCCGACCGGGTCTGCCTCGGGCCCCTCGGCCATAAGAGGCCCACCCGTAAGAGCATGCTTGCCAACGTCGTCGCCCGCAAAGACCATCCGCCCGGGCCCGGTCCACGTGTTGACGACGTGCGCCGCCAGGCTGGCGTTGGAGCCGAAGAAGTTCCAGCTGGGCCCGCCGGACGGGTACGAGCCGCCCATGACGACGAGCTCCGAGACTTTGAGGGAGACGAGGTCGCGGCCGGAGAGCGGGGAGGAGGCGTCTGCGGTGGAGTTAAGGAGGGCGGAGAGCTGCGTGTCGTATCAACTAGGTAGTCGAATCATTTTGCTTGAAATCGGGCGGGCAGGGTCAAGCGCGTGCGCGGTGAATTGCAAAGTATACTAAAGAGCTTACGTTATCCAGAAACCCAATCGAAGCGATCGTCACGCTACCGTCCTCGGCCTCGGCAAGCACCTTGCGATAGAGCGCCACCGGGTCCCAGGCATTGTCGGCGTGACCCCAGGGGAGGCTGCCGCCCGAATAGTGGTAGGCTACCTTGCTGGCGTACTCGCCCAGGTCAAAGTAATAGCGGTCAAAGAAGGTGGCATTTGTCAGGGGGCGTGGACTGCCGATGGGGACGTGGGCTTTGCCGTAGTGGGAGAGGAGAGCAGACGCCGCGAGAGCGGAGAAGCTGGACGGGTAGTTGACGTTGACGGCAAGGAGGTTTACATCGGGGGATGTGGCGGCGAGGAGGAGGGCGCCGGCATCGCTAGGGAAGGATGGCGATCAACCTCAATCTGAGAGATGCAAGGGGAAAATCTGGGTTGTAATGAGAGTTGGCTTACTCGACATCACTGAACAAGTCGGTGTCGATGATGAAATTTTTCTTGGTGGCGGCGAGGCCAACGTTGGCGAGAGAAAGAAGAAGAGTGACAAGTTTCTTCATTTTGGCTCTGAGGTACAATTCAAAGAGCTAATAAAACTAGATGCTCTAATTACTACCTTAGGTAATTATAGCGAGGGGGTGAGCAAACAGCTTTAGACTTTAGAGGAACATAGAAACAGCAGCGATACCTTACCTAGGTACCTATCTTTAAAGGCGCCCCCATAGGTCAGGATTGCTTTTGAAGGGGACCTAACTACCAAAAAACGGTAGCTAATGGCCCTGAAAGCGTTGGCTCAAATGCGTTGTCTGGGGAGTCATCGCTAACAAAGCAATGCGACACCAGCCAACCTGGAAGCCAATGGCTCAAACGCGTCGCCGCACGTATCCGTAAGTTATTTCGTGTCGGAATCACGTGGGTACGTTAGGTTCTGAGCTCTCCCCTCATTTGTCGGATCATTCTTCCCTTCCCGGTGAAGAAACATCGGGGGCTGCCCGCGCAGGCGGCCGGGCATCGCAAAAATGGGAAGACAGGTCCTTTGTGACCTGGTCTTTCATTTCCAAGGGGTTGCAGCTCCGCGCAGCTACTGCGCGGCCTGTTGGCGGCCGAAGTCGTCAATTTCGAGGATCTGAAGTGAGGTTTCTGAGCGCCCGAAAATCCCTCACCACCCCGCCCGACAACCGCGACTCACCGACACCAACGACAAGAACAAGCTGCAACAAACTTTGCAAGATCAGGGGGATACTGGGTACGAAAACCACCCGACTCTTTCGACGTTCTGCAGAAGAGACAGGGCACCCCCGGCCCTGCCCAGTTCTGGGAGAGCGAAGTCAAGAGTCTTGGCGGCAAACCCGACCGGTGAGACGACGCTACGAGGACT